GTTATATGAAATCCTGGAAAACAAGACTGAAAACTCTTTGTAAAATAATGGATACTGTTGTCAAAAATGGTATATGAACACTAAGATCATATATATAAAGTCCTGGAAAACACGCTTGAAACCTCTTAAAGTAAAATAATGAATATATATTAAACCAAATCTTCTGTCAATGTATATTAAGAATAATAATCATTAATATTATAGAAATAATAGGCTATAATATATAATATATAAGAAGAAGATTAATGGTAGCCTATGAATACTAAGATGTCATGCATTATGATTCATATATGAAATCCTGCAAAACAAGACTGAAAATTCTTTGTAAAATAATGTGTATATATATATATATATAATCAAAATTATTGTTAAAAAGGGTATATGAATACTAAAATCATATATGACTAGGCCTATATAAAACGGTGAAAAACAAGTTTAAGACCTCTTTGTAAAATAATCAAATGTGTACTTGCATGTATTCAAAGCGTACAGAAAATCTTTCTCAAAATTGTTGTCAAAATGGTATATAAATACTAAGATTACAAGACTTGGCACATAGGTTATGAATCATTTTTATGATTTCTCTATTTCATCACCCTTATTGACCTATTATTAGCCTATTTGTTTTGAGGGTTTTGCACAACTTACATAGAACTGAAAATTAACCATAGTTTTATTGTAGTAAAAGTGTAGTAACCATGTTTTTTTGGCGTATTGATTACCATTTGTATAACCACAGTTTTACTACAAATAGGCCTGCATAATTAAACTATGGTTGGTGTAGCAAAACCATGGCTAATTTGTGGTTACCATGGTTTAACTATAGTAACCATGGTTTTTTGGCTTTATTTGTGGTAAAACCATGGTTAATTGTCCTAAGGGAACGTCTTCAAACATGTTTTTCCAGCCATTCTGTAGTAATATCGTCTAAAACACTGTGCTATTCTTAATTCTTCATCTTGTGACGCTTTCAAATTTTCAATTTTTATCCAAACCTGTGAGAGAAAATTAAGGGAAACCCCGGATTACGATCTGAGGCAGTTTGTTTATCCTGACAGTCCGTGACGCCGCCTGCTGTTTATCAGGAGAACTGCATAAACACACTAGCGCATCATGCCCTTTTCGCTTTTATTATTTCCTTTTAGCATCTACAATGCAGTATGTAAAAAAAATCTCTACAGTTTGCGATTAAAAGCAACTTAATATTACATTTTTTTTATCCCGTTTAGGCTATAACTAGAAAATATTTGATTTTAGCTACAGATGTTTTCAAATCATAACTAACGTTAGCCTATTTTAGAATTCATCACACGACGATGGTGCAAAGAATAAAAAAGAACAGAAAGCAATAGAAATATGAATCTATCCTTTGACATTTCCTATATACAGAAATAATTTGATGTCAGCAGGTAGTGTTCTTCTAATAAGCCTAATATTGCTCGTGTTGCTGAGGTGAGCTGAGTTGATGCTATTAGCTTATCTTAAAAGCAGCATAGACTGCTGATGTTCAGTAGAATCGCACACAGGGAATCTATGAACGCTGATGTATGACATCGACCTCAAGAACAGAGAGAGAGAGAGAGAGAGAGAGACTAAACCCATAACTGCCCAGTAACAAGCTCTCCCCCCTCATTGGCTGCAGAGGCAAGTGTATTTGATCAGGCCCTCAGACTAAATGACACACTGTTTGATCGGCAGACACTAAACCTCCTGTGAGAGCTAAAGGAAGACCTCAGCATCTGTCCTATCTGAGGAATATGTGCCCTGCTCACACCTGGGTGACTGCCTAAAGGGATGCTGCACACAAAAAATGAAGATTTAGTTATTATGTACTCCCAACCCCTATCCGTCTTCCCTGTAACAGAAGAATATGTTGGCATAATATCATGTTTTTGTTGTTGTTTTTTAACCATAGAATGGTAGTGAATTGTGACTGGGGAATATAATGTTTATAATATCTTAAAATCTTCATTCCTTATAGTCACATTTAAAGCTAATCACTAATATAGTTTACATTTTGCAACTATACAAGCAAGTATTACAGAACAGCAGCATAAAAGTACTATAAAACTGGTTTATCTGACTTGTGCACTTTACAGTCTTCAGTCTTCGGACACAATATGATTGAAAATAAGCTATTAAATCTCTTTTATACATGGTGTCACATTACCGTACACTGTAAAAAATGACCGTGAATTTAATGGTAAAAGACTGTAAAAATGCTACTAAAAACCTGTTAAATGGTTTAAGTCCCCCTGTAGTGAAAATCAAGTTTTTTATGTTGTTTATTTGTCTATGTGGTGTTTTTAATATGCTTTTAGACAAACCATGTGCCAATCTATTAATCAACACCATTGCTGTGTATTTTCTCCTTAAAACTGTAGTTTCCCAAAGGCTGACCCAGAAATATGGTTTGAAACAGCCCTTGGTTTGCTACGTCACAACCCAATAACCAATCACGTCAAGGGATCGATTCCTATCACTAGCATGCAAAATATACCAATACCAGCACAAAACCTAAAATAAATCAGAGCAAAAAACCCATGCAGCTGTGGTTTAATGTGAATTTAGAACCGCTAACTTGCATTATAACCCGTGGCATCAGTGTAAAATTAGCCCGGAGTCACTTCACATGCGTATGCTCACGGGCGCGAATTAACAATCACAAGCGGCTGCATTCGAGTCTTCCGTCCTGCCTGCCTCCAGACACCCGTTCCGTGACAGTCTCAAATCAAAAGTCAACCACGCCCTCCTAAAACAGCTCATTCTAACACACCCCCACATGTATACGTCACGATGTGGGAAGATTTGCATAACACCGCCCAAATGTTCAACCAAAGAAAGAAGGCGTAACTTTAATTCTCGCTGTAGTATTGTTGCTGCCGCCATGTCGTGAAGACGCTGTGTGTGATACATCAACTTCACGCTGTGGATCACCGGATCAGCTTTCACCGTGGACGAAGTGGAGTCCAGTCCGGGGTCGTCACATGTGATTGCCACAAGCCCGCCGGCCGCTCCTTTGTCGTAACCCGCCAGCCATTCCTCTCTCTAGGCTGCCGGCCGGCGCTCACTCTAGCCCGCCGTGTGTGACGCTATGTTTTGGTGTGAAAGCGAAACTACTTTGTTTGGCCTTCCAAAAGAGGACACAACTAGAAATCAGTAGTCAAGTTGTATTTACAACACTGTTCCAGAACAGTACAACCCAAATATTCAGATGTGTGCAGCGCATTTT